ATAGAGGCATTAAATATGAACACTATGTAAGACAAGGGTGTCCAAACATTTTCATATATGGGCCAAAACTATCAAGATGAAAGGACTTGTGACACACCCTGGACGGGTCGCAAGTCCATCACAGGGCCACATAGAGACAAACAACCATTCACTCTCTCATTCACACCTAGGGACAATTTAGAGTTACCAATCAGCCTAACATGCATATTTTTGGTCTGTGGGAGGAAACCGGAGCACCTGGAGAAAACCCACACTGCACGGAGAGAACATACAAACTCCACCCAGAAAGGCCCCTGGACCGGAGTTTGAACCAAGGACCTGCTCGCTGAGAGGCAGCAGCTCTACCAATTGCGCCACCGTGCTGTGCTTTGTACCATGACGGGAAAATAAAGATATTATAGTCAAAGGATTGTATTTTATATAATGTTCATTTTGAGAAGATTGTGTTTCATCCATTTTGCTGTTAAACCTAAATATTATATAAAAAAAAGATTACCAACACATTTGCAGAAAGTCTACATCGACTTCTTAAGCCTGCTGACCAAAATGATACCATTCTTAAACTGCAGTTTTGGGCCGCACAAAATCACTGCAAGGGCCGCAAATGGCCCTCGGGCCGCACTTTGGACACCCTTGATGTAAGAGTTAAAGTGAATTCAAATGAGGAGCACACGGGCTTTGCTGCAGTCAAACATTACCTGTGCAAGATGAAACAAAACTGTTTTTTTTTTTAATCTTATTTAATAGACTCAGTCAGCAAAAAGAAACCATTGCATCAACGTTTATGTATTTTATGTATTAAGTTCCTGGGAAAACAACGCAGACATGTTCTTGTATTTATTTTTCTACATCACCTTACAACCTAGCTGTTGTTTTTTGTTACATTTTCTTTTAAATACCATTTTATTTTCACTTGTTCTTCTCAATTTGTACGCATCCTTTATGAATGTCTATTGTTGCCTTTGTTGTCCACTGTTGTCATCATTCTTTGTTAAAATCAGGTCTCTCTTGTAAATGAGTCCCCGAGGCTCAATGGGATTAACCTGTCTAAATAAAGGTTGAATTAATTAATTATTAATATGTGTCTGTGTATAATGTCAGTGGAGATGTCCAGATGTAGTATGGCAGATTTATTCACTGGAGTTCTGTCTTGTATACAAGCTCACCCAGTGGTCCAAAGTAATATGAAAACTTTAACCATTCCAGAGACTACTCTTTGAATCTGTTGTGTGGTGTAAAGTGATGGGAACTCTGGTTTTCTACACTTGTGCAAAAGTACATGCAACTGAACGGGTCATTGTCTTGATCATTGGTGTCTAATCCTGCTCCTCGAGGGGCATTGTCCTGCATGTTTTACCTCATTCTCTGCTCCAGCGTACCTGATTTGAATCGCTGGGTGACTGACACTTCTGCAGAACACGAAGAGGTAACTGAACCGTTGAACCAGGCTGGAGGAGTGAAACAAATAAAACATGAAGGATAGTGCACCTCAAGTACCAGGATTGGTCAGCTTGTCCATGCAGCAACAACAGATAAAAAAGTGTGATTTTGATGCACAAAAAGATGCATGAGTTTAACTTGTACATATAATAAATAACCTGTTGTTTCAAATGGTGTACCTCAAGGCTCAGTCTTAGTACCCACCTTCTTTACAATTTACATAGGTAATGTAGGTCAAAACATCCCTGATGCATCCTTACATTTATATGCTGATGACACAGTTGTTTATTGTCGAGCTAAAACAGTTGCTAAGGCTTTCCAGTTTTTGCAATCTGCATTTAACATCATCCAGTCAGATTTGTTCAGTCTCAAACTTGTCTTAAATGCCAACAAAACCAAAGGGATGCTTTTTTCAAACAGGAAGTTGGCCCCAGCAGTTCTTCCTCCGATTTTATCCTCAAATGGTGTTCCCATTGAGTTTGTTGATTCCTATAAATATTTGGGTATCTTGGCTGACTCGCAACTCTCTTTTAAGCTCCATGTGGAAAACCTAGTAAAGAAGCTGAAAGTTAAATTGGGTTTCTTTTTCAGAAACAGATCCTGTCTAACTCTGAATGCTAGGAAACGCCTTGGATCTGTGACTTTCCTTCCCTCCACTGATTACGGTGACATTATTTACATGAACGCTCCTACAAGAACCCTGCAGATGTTGGATGCTGTCTATCATGGTGCACTAAGATTCATAACTGGCTGTGATTATCGTATCCACCACTGCACCCTGTATTCACTGGTTAACTGGACATCATTAGCTTCACGCAGACTCTCTCACTGGTACATTTTCATCTTTAAATCACTTCTTGGTCTGCTGCCTTCATACATCTCCTCCTACATGTGTCTGCGTGAGTGCAGCTACAGCGTGCGCTCTCAGGACATTATTACATGCAGTGTTCCCTCAATGAGGACTGAACTAGGCAAAAGGGCCTTCTCCTACTCCGCTCCTGTTTCCTGGAATATCTTACAAAAAGACGTGAAGCTCTCGACCTTGACCTCTCTAAGTGGCTTTAAAAATCTGTTGGACTCCTGGCAAGGATCAATGCAGACATGTTCCTGTTTTTAGTTTTCTACACTCGCCTTATAAGCTAGCTGTTTTTGTAACTTTTTTTTGGTCACCTTATTTGTAAAAAAAATAAAATTGCCTTTTTATAACTGTCTATTGTTGTCGCTGTTGTTCATTGTTGTCATCATTCTTTGTTGAAACCAGGTCTCTCTTGTAAATGAGTCCTCAAGGCTCAATGAGATTTACCTGTCTAAATAAAGGTTGAATGAATGAATATACTATGTTGCCTGCAGCCTTTAACTGGAGTCAAATGAGTAATTTATGTTTTTGATCATATCTGATTAAGTATAAAAAAAAATATGTGGTTACTTTTTGCACACCATTTTGCCTTTTATTTTACTCAGTGCATGGTTCAGTTTACACATACAAACTTATTATTTCTCATTGCTCAGATAAGTTCTGTATGCCAAACAAACATTATTATTATTGTCATTATTTATTTATTGCCAAAAGACAACAAAGGCTTGTTCAATTCCTCCAAGGAAGGTTTTGTCTGGTTCAGAATTATAAATAGAAATGCAGAGTCATTCAGGATTTATTTTTCATTTGATAGGAAACAACAACAACAAGGATTGAGTTTAAGGTTTTCACAAGATCCACGAATAAATCGTCTGAGGTGTTAATTTACGCCCCCTAGCGGCAACTCCGAATCCAGCCAGCCAGCAGCTTCACCTGTGGGGCAGCTGCACAAAACTTCACCCAAAGACCACATGAACTGTTTCCTCCTGCAACACATCCGTGTAAGGATGAGAGTTTGTCCTAATATAATTTTGTGAAGACTGAGATTTTATCTTTGGACAAACAGGCCATTAACTCCTATAGTAAAGCCTTTGCCTTTGAATAACTGAATGCTGCTGCACCTAAAACAATACATTGTTTTCTCATTATTAAACTCTAAAATGCCTTTCAAAGTTATTTTAAACAATTTATATAAAGAGTTTTTAATCATCACTGTAGGCCATTATTAAATTTTCAGTTGAATTAGGAACTAGAGCAAAAATGTTAAAAAAAAAAAAAGATTTCTCTTATTTCTCTGTCCTTCTAAACAAGATAAAAAAACAGATCACTGAAACATCTTCCCAAAATTGATTAATTATTTCAGCTGCAGTGTCTGGAATGAATCCTGCAGGAGTCCCACGGTGCTTCTGGAAAAGCCTTTGGCATCAGCAGCTTCTTGGATGTCTCTTGGGGAAACGGAGGTATAGAGAAGTCCTTTCTCTTTCCCATGGGGATCGGATAAATATAGCGCCGCCGCCTAACACCCCCCCCCCACCCCACCCAACACACACACACACACACACACACGCACCATTTGCTGTTTGTGTAAAAGTGATTAGCCAGACACAACTGAGAAACTGTTACCTTTCTAGAAGCCAGGCCGCAGAATATTTAGTAAGAGGACCCGCAGTGATGTCGGGAAATGAAAAAATGTCTAAACTGTGACCAGAAAACTGACACAAACCTCATTTAAAAACACAACAATATTATAGTCACCCACTTATGATAAAAAAGATAAAATATAATTTTTTAAAATTATTTTAAAAAGTCAATTTGAGCTAAGTTTTTATATAAGACAGTAAACATTTTTTGTAGCATTTAAGTAATTATTTAGACCTTTCAATGATGCACAACTTTTTTTTTTTCACATTCAGCATCATTAATTTAAACTAATACCACTTCCTAAATAAAGGTTGTTTTATTAATTTTTTTCAAAATGCTTTCTGGATTTCAGCTTGAAAGCTGCAACTATTTACAAATTTAATGCAAAAAATGGTGGATAAATAGAGATGTACATCAACATCATTTTTTAAAGAAAATGTATATTTTTTTGCATTTCATCACTAAATAATAATAATAATAATAGTGAGGAATTTAACATTTGCTTTTTGCAGATTTTTCCATTTTTTCCACTTTTTACTCCCTCACAAATTAATAATAATTTTATTATAAATTCAATAAACAATAAATAATAAACCAATTTTAATACAACATGATTAGAACAGTTTTATGTCGAGGCGTCATGACTCATATGACCTTGTAATGATTTAAAAAAAATGTTCATATAGTTAACATATTTTAACCTAATGTCAAACAGTTTAGGAAAAAAATAATAAATGGAAATATATTTAAATTCTTTCTTAAATTTATTTACAAAAGGTTTACAACACATTATAGCTACATAGAATGACGTATATTTGTTTTTGTTTAATATAAACAGTCTGCTTTGAGTGTCTTGTATGAAAAAAAGAAGCGTCAAGTTGAGCCTCCAGTTAGAAAAAAGAACAATGAAATTAATTATCACAGATTTCAAACAGGAACAAAAAAAAAAAAAGAGGGAGAAACAGGTAAAAGTCGAACAGGTAAGTTCATTCTCTTTTTACAAATATTTACAAATACCTGTACAGAAAATTCTTCCTTTTCTTTCCTTTATTCTGTGTATTTCAACAGTTTTTTTTTTTTTTACAGTCCGGTGCTGCTTTTTGATTTGTGCTCTTCACACCTCCCGGTAAAAACGTCTTCATATAAAAATAAGAGTTTTTTTTTCTTTCTTTTTGTCACCAGTCTTGGGTAGGAGTCACTGTGAGGGCCATTTGGACACGGCCGCTGACGGTAAAACGTGTCCAGAAATGAGATTTGAAGGAACGCTGAGGATGGGCGCGATGGCGGCGGAGCTCCGGCTCAGAGAGAGGGACTGCGCGCTCAGCAGCGCCGACTGAACCGTCACCGGAGGCCGCAGGAAGGCCTGAGCGGCGCCCGGAGAGGACGAGGAGGTGCTGGACACGCCGATGATGTTCTCTATGCTGAAGGACGGCCTGTTGGACGGCTCCGATTTGATCATGGACGCCGTGCTCAGGCTGCTGAGCTGCAGCTGGAGGCTCGGGCTGAGCTGCGCGCTGAACGCTTTCCTGTTCAGCTCCGCCGAGGGCAGCAGGGGGACCCCTGGGGGCAACATGGGACCCACAGGTGGGATGTACGGGTACTGCAGAGCCGCTGGATGGGAGTACGCAGCCGGGTGGATCCCGTAGTGTCTCCCGTAAGGACCCCCGAGGCTGTACGCCCCGAAACTTTGCATCATGAGCGCAGTCTGGTCCCGGAGCAGCTCCGGCTGGACTCTCTTGAACCTTTTCCTCCTCCTCAGGAAGCTGCCGTTGTCGAACATGTCCTCTGAGGCCGGGTCCAGGGTCCAGTAGTTGCCCTTGCCGGGGTTGCCGGGCTCCCGGGGGATTTTCACGAAGCAGTCGTTGAGAGACAAGTTGTGCCTGATGGAGTTCTGCCACGCCGGGAACTTCTCCCGGTAATAAGGGAACCGGTTGCTGATGAACTCGCAGATCCCGCTCAGGGTGAGTTTTTTCTGCGGGCTCTGCAGGATCGCCATGGTGATGAGGGCGATGTAGGAGTAGGGCGGCTTGACCAGGCTGTTCTTGGGCTTCTGGAGCGCTCCTCCCGGCGCTGCGCTCTCGTGACCCTCTCCCTTCCCGCCGGCGCCCGGCTCTCCCTCCCCGGAGCTCTCGCAGCACGGACTCCCCCCACCGGAGCGCATCTCCTCCTTCTCCACCTCGATCTCGTCCTCCAAGTCGTCGTCCCCCGTCTCCCCGCGCAGGTCGTGCAGGATGCCTCCCCCAGGACTGTCGCAGTCGCTGTCCACCCTCTCCATGCCGTCGTCGTCCCCCTCTCCCACCACGTCGATGTCCACGTCCTCCGCCGTGAGCACAGTTTGGGCGGACATGTCGCTGGCTCGGTCGCTGCCCCCAGACAGGGTCATCTCACGGCTTCCTCACACTTTGATGTCAAAAGAATCACTGAAAAACAAACTTACAGCGGCGGGGGGGCGCGCGGTGCAGAGGAGACCTGGTGCGCGCACACCGTGTCTCTGCTTGTCAAGAGTTCCTGTGTCTCCAAGAATCTAGATGCCAACCAGAGCGCTGCCAACTTCTACACTTTCCCTCCCTCCCCCCCACTCGGAGCAGGCCTGCAGAGTGCGGAGTTCTGCCTGGATGTTTGTTTGGAGACTCCTTTTTGCGCTCCGGCGTCCTAAACGCGAGATGTTTGGAAGCCGATTTGACACATGCTGCGTTTGGAGGCTTTTAACTGGACTGTCTGATAGATTACCACTCCCGCCCCCCCTCAGTATAAGATATACTAGAGCCGGACACGTGGTCGCGTGACGACACACGCCCCCACCCTCTCCTCCTTCTGGCTGGTCCCCGTCCAGCTCTCCTCTCTGTTAAACCATGCAAACTGGAGTTGTTTCATGGGTTTGTCAACAATGGGACATCAGCAGTGCTGCTTCCCGCTGATCCCTGTGTTCGTCCGTCATACACCATTTAGCGGTGGCGGTTGGGGGGGGGGGGGGGGGGGGGGGGGGGGGGGGGGTGTAGGAGAACGAGAAAATTAGCCCGCGTGATTGAAAGATCCGACGCGCTCTGCGTAAAATAACAAAGCCGAACCTTTTAACTTTGCCAAGCAGCTGCAGAGCCACAAGGACACAGCTAAGTGAACGGAATCTGCTTTTTTTTTTTAGTTATTTCGTTGTGAGATTGTTCCAGACTTGTCTTTCTTTATGTTTTAATACTTCAGGAGCTACGCCTTTGCTTCGTTTGTTGGGGTTCCATGCGGATTCGCGCGCCTCGGTATTCCCACCTTTCCCTCGCGCCTGCGTTCTTCCAAGTAGCGATTACAAAACGTGAAATTTTAAACTGTTTTTATTTTTTTTATCATTATTTTTTTGTCTTGCAGGATCAGCTGAAGGTGGGGAGCGCGCAGCAGTGACCATGGATGAGGATTGATAGAGACTTTCCTTTATAGGAGTTCGGAAGAGGTGCAACGACTCTGCTAGTATTATCTTGTCCTGTCTTTTTATTTTATTATTATTATTATTTTGCATTTGAAAACAAAGAAACAAAAAAAGATAAAATAGGAAGCGGGTGAGTGCACAGAGAGGATTCTTCACAGGTGAGTGGGGATGCGCTCCGGGAGGATTTCAGATTCTTGAAGACTGAGGGAGAAGAAGGGTTCATATTAATAATAAATGTTAAATATATAAACAAAATAAGTTATACAAAAAAAATATGCATTTATTTAATTTGAAAGGAGCAACTGATTGCAGGCTAAAGGTTAATTATTTCTATAAACCATCTTTATTTATGATTATTCACAAAAAATGTATAACGGTTGCAGTAAAAATTCTTGTTGCCGTTTTGGTTTAATAACAAATAATCATTATGAATTTGTTATAATCACCCCAATGTAGGTTTGACAGTTTTCTCATGTTAACGAGGCAATTAAAATCTATTTTTATTCGCAAAATTTAAACAAACAAAAACTATCGTTTAAAACTTCCAAAGTTGTCTTTTGGTTTTAAGTGTTCTGTCAAAATTTGATGACATA